TTTAAAAGTATGCCATTAGATTACCTATAGCTTGAAACGGATAATGTGATTGGAATCAAGTCGATAGGTTGTATCGTTGTCGAGAAATTGTTAAAAACGTACCGTGTAAATCGCGAAAAACCGTGTAAAAATAACCGTGTAAAAAAAACTTCAGTATTGGTATTTTAAAGCAACCATCAAAATAAACAGACAATATATGAAAAGGCTAGTTGCCCGTTGCTTTAAAGGCCAGTTGCCTCCCTAAGCGGACCCCCCACATCCTAACTCTTTTTTAATATACTTAATGTTATTAGGCTGTCTAAATTTTCTCATTTAAGTTCGTTTGATGATTGTGATACCTCATTAGCCTAATTTAATAAATAATTGAAATCTCTAGTCTAGCTAAGGGATGGTCCATTAATTATGTCACGCAAATTTGGCCCATTTTCATCCCCCCCTCCCCCCTTTGTCACATTTGTATGGACCTTAATTTTTTTTGTATGGCTCGTCACAGTTTTCAAAACCCTTCCCCTCCCCCTAAATGTGTGACATATTTAATGGACGACCACTAATCAATTATAACTTTACCATGCTTTATTAAGTACCTGCCCTTATGCATATAATTCAAAATTTAATGTGTTTCAAGTTGTTTTTGACTTTGACCTATATTTATTACATATTAGTTCGTCCCAGGTGACACCTTCAAGTGACTAAAATGCTTCACTTTGAAGTTAGTTTCCTAGCTGATTTTTAAATTATATAGGGTATCCGCTCCAGCTACGCTCACACGTTTCCACTATGTCATCCCACAAAATTACGTCACAATAGGAGCAGCCACAGTGGAAATCCCGAGCCACAGTTCAAACACTTATCCCAAACCAAAATGAAGCATGTATAAGATAAGTTACAATACCATGCACAAAAATGGTGTTTAACATTGTTCCCTGAGTAATGCTTCAATGAAAACAACAATGAAAGTTTGTCACGCAAGTAGAAGAAGCACTGTTGGGCACTTTCTGAAATATTTCAATAGTATAATTCCCGCGCAAACCCAAATAAATCTATCTGTGTAAAAATAAATAAAATAAGAGTGATTTGCGGAAGAACCCGCTAGTATCGCATCCAACGCCAGTGCCTATACGTAAGCGTACTACGACGCGGCTATTAAAAAAAGAGTAACAAGCGTGATACTATCACTGCTAGACTAGATCTTTGGTTTTCTCATGCAATAGTTCACCAGAGAGGAGAAGCTCAGTAATCCTCATCGCATGCTCATGTCGCTATTCTGTCACGACATTTCAATCGCCGTGGGAGTCTCCCGGTGGACCGTCAAAAGGGTTTTAGACCGAGAAAAGAAAGGACAACTATCCGCGACGGTGGCCACAGGTCGTTCGAGGTCAGCTTGAGTTTCGAGGGTTATCGCTGCTATCAAAAGAAAGATTCGGGTGAATCCAGTGCGTTCAATAAGGAAAATGGCAAAGGAACACGGGATCAGTAACTTTACGGCACGGAAGATCGTAAAGGAAGATTGTGGGGCGAAGTCGAGGGCACGGAAAAAAACTCACATGATTACCAACCGCATCCGGGAGCTACGAGTCGAACGATGCAAGAAAATCTTGAACTTCCTTAAGCGAAAAAATCCGGTAATCCTGTTCACCGACGAGAGCATGTTTACCGTCGATCACGTATCAAATTCCAGAACCGACCGGTATATTAGTTCTCTTCCGGTAAAAGAACGTGTATCTGACCAAGCATCCTGCTAACGTTATGGTGTTTGGATTGGTGGCTTCCGATGGCAAAAAATGGACCCGGTGTTCATTCCAGGTCAACACGGAGGTCTACATCGGGATTTTAAGTAAGTATGTTCTTCGGTGGATCAAAGAACAGTACGGTCCGAAGCCAAATGTTGTATTTCAACAAGATAAGGATCCGTGCCACACCTCGAACGAACTCAATATGGCGCGTCATGAAGGCCAAGGCCTGTTCTAAACGCCATCCGAGTACAGTAAGCCTCAGACAAACATTGACCCGTACCTGGAGAGAAATGGATCCAGACTACATTATTAGAACCTGCCGTGCATTCCGGAAGCGTGTGGAGGCCGTCATTGCAGCAAGTGGAAACTCGGTCGATGATTAACATAGTTTAAGACTCTGAGAAACATCCCCCCTTTGAATAATTAAAAAAAAATCAAAAACGAAATTTTTGAGAATTTTTTTAATTGTGACATTGCTCAATAGTGCAAACATTATCACGCATACGGTATATCTCGATATTTCTATAACTATAAAATACGAAATAATACGATTTTTCAATTATTTTAACTCTTTATTTGATCCAAACGTAAATACATTCATATTTTAAACTAGGTGCTCCAGCTACTACAGTAGCTTACCAACCTTATTTGTTAGGATTTATATCTAAGTGTATTTACATTGTTTCTGCCTTAGAAATTTAGGTTTTCTATGCCTGCGTGTTAGTATAAAAAAAACTTAAACTTTATTTTATCTAATTATAAGGAGAATAAGCCGAAGGAAAGGGATTCTGCACTTTTTGACCATCAGATGTCCCGTCGGAAATTATGCATAAACTGCTTTCCGTTAATTGTTCACAGAGGATAGTGCAGTGTAAAACGTGTCTGGTACCTTATATATGCATTTATTTAGATTTACATCCAAAGTCCCTCCTTGTTTGCATATTCTGCACAAAAAATTAAAAAAAACAAGTAGCTTTTGTGGAAAGTATGCAAAAAGGAGAGACTTCGGATGTTAATCTAAATGCATGTATAGAGGTACCCGATACGTAATGCCAGGCAAGGTTGCAAATACTCATTTCAGCTAAAATAATGTTGTTTACCTGCCGTACTCTAACGGAACTATCAACTCTATGCTTTCATCTACTCCATCTATCGTATAAAAATTACCACTACAGTCTGTTATTTGAAATTAGCATCTTCAACTATGTAAATCGTTGACTTCACGTAGAAGTAATACTAAAACATATAGTCAAAGGTTTAATATATCAAACACATTCTTTGCAACCTCTTCTTGTATCCTACCAATTCAAAATATGATCATGACATCTAATTATTTTATAATTAAAAAGAAACATTGTTTTAGCTGAAATGAGTATTTGCAACCTTGATGTACTATATGTTATAATCTGTGAGATGGAAATCACAAATCGAGTGTCATCAAAATACATGGCATGTACAGAGATTGAGCTAGTGAGAGATAATAGTGTGAGCGACAAAGTAGCTTATTCTATTGATAGTAAGGTTCAAATTAAAGTGTATTCATTTTACAGTAAATTAACGATGATTACTGCTAGTAATTATGGACTTTCTCGCTTCCCCCATACTGAATCGCTGGCAATATTTGTTTATATGCATCACTTAAGTGATCTATGCCTGAAATTAATAAATACCTTGTTGTACATTTGTTGTAAAGTCTCAACATTCGAAATGCTATGTACCTCGTTAGTACTGTACCGAGAAGGCATCTTCAGAACTTTGTTTAGAAACCTTTAAAGTGCTTTTCCCAGGTAGTGCAACAACTAGACCATATTAGCACAGCGTAAAGCATTGCCGGTTTAAACATTTGTTTAAATATTAGAAGATTTCCTGATTATAAGAGGATACAAACATTTTATATATTATATCACTCTGCTGAGCACTGCCTATAAGGTACTCTCTCAAATACTATACCACCGTCTATCACCGATTGCAAAGGCGTTCGTGGGGCAATACTATTCGGGATTCATGAGTGTCCGTGCTACCACGGCCCAGATTTTAGAGTTTCGGCAAGTTTTGCAGAAATGCAGCGAATATAACATTCGCACACATAATTTTTCATCGATTTTATATCAGCATACGACACAACCGATCGAGACCATCTATGGCAGATTATACACAAATACGAAAGAGCTTGTTCTCATTTTCTCTAACAGATCGAGCATTCCAATTCAAAATATTCAATGACATAAAATCCATTACTGAATTTCTGAGTAATGACAATTGAGTTCGCAAATATAATTCTAGTTTGAATTGCATCAAACATGGAGTTAGTTTTCAACATATCAGTAATCAAATCGATTAATGATTGTTCTCAAAATTGATTTTTGAAAGAGGTAATGCTACCTACGCCAAAATTATCAAAATTTTGGTTAGAAATATGATGGTTACAATTTTAAGAAAAACGGCGCCGGTGGTGTAGTGGTAAGCGTGATTACCTCTCACCCCAGCAGGCCTGGGTTCAATACCAGTCGGCGCCGCCGGGATGTTCTGAGGCATAACATCTCTGATCACGCCTTCCTTCGGATGGGAAGTAAAGCCGTTGGTCCCCGGTTGAGTTGATGGGTCGATAGGTAGGGTCCAGGTGTGGGAGCTGCCTTCCTGGCACGTCGGTTGCATTGGTGCTCAGCACGGAAAACAAGATCGACGGAAAAACAAACCAAAGGAAAAAAAAAAAAACAATTTTAAGAAAAAATAATGTTTACTGTATACCTCTCATTTTTGCCAAACAATATAATGGGACTGTTATGGCGCATAGGGCAATACGCTGTCATTAAACGCATAACTGCCCCATGTTCATGATAAATATTATTGTGCTTTGACAAGCTTGAAATGAGGCATAAAAATCTCTGGTCACGTTTTTCTTCGTAAGGGAAGTAAAGCCGTTGGTCCCGGCCCATGTGCGTGTTGAATGGATGCGATATCCTACGCAGGTGTGGAAGCTGCATTCCTGCACATTCGATTGCCGTAAATGGATGGCAATCGATGTCCGTCGATGATTGGCACTAGATTGCGGAACAGAGACCGACGTTAAATAAAGGAAAAGAAGAAGAAGACAAGCTTGATAAGTTCACCACTTTTTGTAAAGAAGGGGTACATGTGAAATTATGTTACACAAATGTTTCAGGTAAAAAGGCGATTGGTGCACCAAGGTAACTGGGAAGAATTAAATCACAGTCGATTACATGTTGGATGCAAGGCTGTGATACCACTGATGCCTTATTGCATATTTCTCTTAAACTACTTATTTATTGTACAGAAACGATAAAATTAAGTATAGCTTACCATAAAAATTTACACTTTGGGTTTCTTGGGAAGAGAACCAAAAGCTGATATGACGGTGCCTTTTGTACCAGTAGCTGTAGTTGTCAGCGTCTGGGCAATAATTCCAGCAGTTTTGATAGCTCCGGCAGTTCCAATCGCTCCTGGTGCAGCACCTAGCACTCCCGGTTGGTCCCATTTTGATTTGCGCTTTTTCGAATCATCCGGTTCCATCTTTTTGACACCAACCTGAATTTCCGTTTTCGCACTCTCCTTCCTAGCCTTTTCCATCTTTTCCATTTCTACTTTTTGTGCCTTGGCCAGCTCTTCATAGTAAGATTCTTTTCCCCATTGTGATGGATCGAAAATCTCTGGCGGATAGTTTGTCCCCAGTTCGTTAATATCGCAGAATTGAATCAATTTCTCATATATACTAGGATTGCGGAACTCTTTGCGCTCTTGAATGATCTTATTGGTATCCATGTTTGAATTACGCATCTTCTCATAGAGATTTGAAATCTTTTCCTGCAGCTCTAATGAGCACTTTCCCTTAGGTTCCGGTGGCAAACTAAAACCGTACATCTTGGCTCGGTCAACCTTAGTAGACGAAGCAGATGACTCGGCTAATGCTGGAGTCTCGTCCTCTGATATATCCATATGTTCCTGCTCACGATGAGGTGAAACATTTTCATCGTCAGATACTACCGTATCGTCGAAATAACTGACCAACCGCAATGCCTTCTGTCGGGATGAAGAAGATTCATTAGATCCGCTAGCTGTCGTAGTGGGAACTGCTGACTTAGATGCACTTATGTTTGTCACTGGTGGTGTAACAGAAGATTCCGACATATCATGCAACGGTGTCTGCTGTCTAGAACGGACACGATTCTGTAAAACAAATTAGTTAATTATTATCACCAAAACACTTAGAATACTATATTACCTGTGAGGAAGAGCTTTCATCATCCGAAGCAATCGATCCATTTTCAGACTTGTGATCGTCTTCATTTTCCGAATCCGTGTAAGTGGCTGTCAGTGATGCTAAGGCCGAGTTCTTAGCACTCATTTTATCAGATTTACTTTTAAATCACAGAGTTAAACAGATTTTTTTAAAGTAGAATTGCTGCGACAAGATCGTAATTTTGTTAAAACAAAAACGCACTTTCTTCTCTGGCTTACTTTTTGACATTAGTTTGTTTTGCGTCGAAATTTTCGATCACTCGAGCACTGTCAATTCACAGTAGCGGCGGAAAGGAGGAAAATAAAACACATGGGCGTTCTGCACGGTAACTGCAAAATACCCAATAATGACTATAGATACCAGGCCAGTGATATGGCTTCCCGAAAAAAAATAACAACAAAAATACAATAAAAAACAATGTAACAATAAGACGAAAATTATTGTCTTAACAATGATTTATATTGTTACGTCTACAATAATTTTACCTTGATTTATGTTGTACAAAACAGCAAATTTCATGGTAAATGGAAAATTTACAATAAAAAAGGGGGGTTGTTAACCCGCATAAACGCGAACCATAAATTGACCTTACCTAAAATGGTTAAAAATTGTTTATAATCCCTGCTAAACTTTAACTGAAATGGTTAACATCGATCAACTTTATGTGGAATATATCGCGAATTGGTTGCCTGTAATTTACTGATTACCAATTCACGATATATTCCACGTAAAGTTGAGCGATAATACAAAACCATTAATGGACCTTACTGACTACCATAACCATTACCATTAATGTTCTCAAATCATAAGTAAAAACGTTCTTATATAGTTCTCTTTCTGAAAATGTATGGAGAAAACAAGAATTTGGAATGGTAATGGTTCTTAACAACCCATTATTTGTAAGGTTCAGTTCCAAAAAACCATAATACATAAGGTTGAAACTTTATCATTAAACGTTCATGTAAAGTTCCATAACCATTTCAGTTAAAGTTAAGCAGGGATTATAAACAATTTTTAACCATTTTAGGTAAGGTCAATTTATGGTTCGCGTTTATGCGGGTTGACCTGGTTGCAGCAGTTTGGATGTAATATTCAACAACTGTGTACCAAACTTTCAAGCCCAAATGTATGTTTTAAATATTAAAAAAAAATCCCCTTTTTATTTCAACTCAGTCGAGCTTTTTTTTCGACAGTAGGACAATTTATTTTGAAAGTCGCAACTTTTAAAAACAGTGATCAGACAACTTTTGATTTGATAATTCTTTGACTTTTATTGACTTAACGTTTTTCTACCAAAAAGAACCAATGCAAACTCTTAATTCTACACTAATAGAATTCCACACATTTTTATAGACGAATTTCCATGTAAAATTCCACATGATTTTCATGTGAATACACATAAACAGAATCCATTCAAAAGTACACATGAAATGTATGAGTCAAATGAATAGTATGTGTGGTTACACATGACTTTTATGTGTACACATAGTAAGTATGTATCCAACATATAGATATTATTTGTTGATAACATTGCAAAAAATCATGTGTGGGACACATAAAAACAATCTCTGAAATTTTATCAGTGTACCAATAGTTTTTTTTTTTTTTTATTTACTAACGATAATTTTTTGTGTGTACATGGTGCACTCAAAAATATTACTAAACAATGAATGATTAATATTTAATCATTTTATGGTTTGTCAATATTTATACATTGGTTTGATTACAATTTGATTTCAAAATTATACTAAGTCGGAATAAAGGCGAAGAATTTGTGCAGTGTATAGGTATTAACGTAAATATTGCAATGGCGCACGTCAAAGTTGTTATCGTTCCGTTTTAATTTTTTAATTCAATCTCGGTCGTTGGGTTCCATCGGTAGATTAGTGGCCTAATATGGACTAATATAAAGAAAAAAATCACTTTCAATTAACAGGTAATGTAATAATCATCATTGAAAACCAAAGCCCATATTGTTTACTTTTTTCAGGACTAAGCTCGCAAAGGATGTTACGACCGGAGGCCGGATTTTAATAGGATCGGAAGCATGTAGAACACCGATTTGTTCAACAATGGAGTTTAAAGCCTCTGACGATCGGATGTTCAAGAGATGTTCGTAGGCCTAAATGAGGAGCCATTGGCAGAAGTGCTGATACCACCCTTTTTAGCTACCGAAATACATTCTTCAACACCTACGCTACACGATGTATCCTAATTCCTCGCTACTGCTACCATATGACCATGGTTGGAAAAAGCTTCGTAGCTCAGTCATGGATAATCCGAAAGATGTAATCGATTGATATGCTGGATGTCGTGGAAAGCAAACGAGTATATTAACGAAGAATGACTGTCTGATAATTCCTTATCTCCCTCAACGTGTGGTGATTATTATTCCCATTTATGTTTTGTGGTGCTTTTATTTCAAAATACGTCAATAAAAATAAATAAAAACGTTGTTTACTTTTTTTAAATAACCAACCATGATAGAAAAAGTAATCATAAACACATCCTGGCGCATAAACAAACTTTATGCATTGTATGAATACAGCAAATTTATACTATTCAATGTATAAACCATTTTTATACAAAGTTTGCATTTTCTCTCTTTATACCCAAGCTATGCGTCGGGCAGGAGAGTTGCGATTTAGCGTATCTTTTATACTATATTTAGATTTTAATATTTTTTGAGTGTGCTTCGTGAAAACCCTTATGGGTTAAAAAATACCCATTTTCAAAACATGTATGTTGCTGTCAAAAAATGGGGGAATTTGGAAATCATAAAATCAGTGTCAACATTTCAAAGGGGCGTAATTGCTTTTGTAAACAATGGCTTTGGCCGTCGATTTCTCGCGAATAAAAGCTCACACATGAAAATTAATAAACCAACAAGTAGAAGAATGTTTCCTCCACCAGCTAGCATTGTTAATTTGGAAGGGTGAGCTTTAATTCACGAGAAATCGACGGTTAAAGCCATTGTTTACAAAAGCAATTACGCCCCTTTGAAATGTTGACACTGAAATGGGTGAAAAAATACCCATTTAAAGAATCAGTTCATTATTGCGTACTGTGTATATTTTTACTCACTAATGGGTAAAAAGAAAACACTTGAAAATTTTATCGTCTCATTCCGTCACCGACCATTGGGAATGCAAACAGTTACTGTCCGCTATTTTTTAAGCAAAAATGGACGATCTCTAGAAAAGGTTAGTTTCCGAAACATTTGAGAGACTTACGGATAAGTCTATACAGTTTATCCAACATGGTATTATAATATCCCGTGTTATATTTTTTTTCGCAACACCTGCATTTATTTTCAATGTAAATATTAGTAAGGTTTTTTATATCAACGAGGACAAATAACCCAGCACCAGCCTCCTCCTTTTGTATGAATGGGTATTTTTTACCCATTTTAGGAAAAACACAATATAAGAAGATGGGTAAAAAACACCCATTTATTGACAGATCCCCCATTTACGCATTAATGAGTAAACCGCAGTTTACCTATTAAATTAGGAGGGGCACTTTTAGCACTTATTAAGCGGAAATAGTTGTTAACCCATTAATGGGTTTCGCGAAACCACCGTATAGGAAGTCCCATTAAGGCTGTGAACCATTTGCCGAGTTAAATTTAACTCGTGGTTAAAAGTGACATTTCGAAAGTTATTTTCTATGTTCGAAAATCCCCGTGCTATCGATCGACCGGTTTTCGAGCCACGGTTGTCAAAGTTTAACTTATTGTCTGTCAGAAATAACCATGCTCGGATAGCAGGGTTAATCAATAACTTTCCATCTGTCAAATTTTAACCAAAAGTTAAAAACATTCGCCCTCGCATTCGCCAAATGGTTCAGAGCCTAAAGAATAAAGAATGTCAATTAAGGTTAGTTCTATTTTTCTGTGTACGCATCTGACAACACCAAATGCCCACCAGGTCGCTGGTCGTTCCCTCGTTTACAGGTGCATGTGTGAGTTTGATATAAGTGTGCGTGAAATCTAGTGCGTGTGCACAAGACGTGTTGATGTTCGTCAACAAAAAGGTACTTTGTTCGTTCATCGTATTCGACGTCGTAGCCAAGAAATTTGTACTGAGCAGCAGAAGAGACAGTTCCTGTTCGACTGGCGTGAGGAAAATATCAGCAGCTATATAGCAGTAGCAGTAGCAGAAGGCAAATGATTGAGTGAAAAATAATGCAACAAAGTTTTATGGATGGAAAACTTAGTGAGGCAATCAAAAAGAGGCGATTAGTGTAGAAAAAATATTGCAATGATCATTGGATTGGATTATTTTCTATTGGCAGTGAATGTGGGTGATTTCGATCGAGATTAGTGTGTGATTATTGATGGCAAATGAAACCCGAAACGCAGTGAGCAAGTCGTCATTTTTCAGTCGTCATTATTCGAAATATTTTCCTCAGTGAGCGTGAACTGCGAGTCGTGGAAGGAAAAGGAAAAAGGAGGATTGTAGGGGAGAAAAAGAAAAAAATCAGCTTGCGAGAGCGAGAGGGTGTGGAAAAGCAGAAAGGTTCAACAAAGAAAAGTGTCGAAGTGCTCGAGCTACTAAAGAGTACAGTGGCAGTGCAGGGTTCGTCGGGGGAAGAGAAGCAAGCAGGGAGACAAGTTCTCTTTTGCTTTTTTCATCATCAAATGGCTGACAGCAGTGTAAATGCAAAGTGTAGTGATGGTGTTTCGTATTTTGATAGTTCAGTAAAGGGAAAAATGACTTCACATAACAATTCGGCAAACAATTCGCAAGCAAGTAACGGAAGCGCTGGAGGAGCTGGCGCTGGCTCTTCCGGTTCCCAAGTGGCTATGGTCGACCGTCTCAAACTGTTGTATCCGAACGTCAACGAGACCGTCGATCCGCTGCCCCGTTCCTGGAGTTCCCAAGACAAGTGCACCACCATCGGACTGACCCAAAATAATCTACGTGTTCATTACAAAGGTTTTTATATTTTCTTTTTAGTAAATTTTACTATTTTCTGACTCCATTATGCACCTTTCTATAATTAGTTTGGTCCTATATTTGGCCAAAGTACTGTTGTCTTCATTTACTGTTTAAGGCAAAAATAGTCACGTTTATTATATGGACTTCTTGAGATTATGTTCCAGAATTCGTTCTTCCTTGAACTCATTTTTAATAAATTAATTAATTAATTGATTTTTTGATAAACACTAAAGCTATTCTGATAAAAAAAAAATATACAAGGAACCTTCATTCTATGCTTCCAAGAGCACGTTCATATACAATATTTTTAACTCTTCATTCAATCAGACAGTCCGAGTCCGAGGAAGGCCGCGAGCAGCCACCATATTTTTGCTTGTGCTGCTGCGCTGGTCAATGTTGCCAGATGTTGCCTTACTGTGGCTGTTAATGATGGTGAAGAAAATCCAAGAGAACATAAATTATCATTCTGTATTAGGTAGTTTATATTATAATGTATGTAGCTAAATCAACTATAGGTAGGGGAAATGTTGGCTTCGGCAATACCTTTACCTATTATCGTCAGGGGGGTAAACAACGTCCTTGAGAGCTCAATTTTGGCATGTGGATACATTGTGTTTCAGAGCATCTATTGGCCAAATTTGAGTGCTCTAGGACTTTGTTTACTCCCCTAACGATAATAGGTTAAGGTATGGCCGAAGCCAACATTTCCCCTATTATATTAACAATGTGGTTCACTCTTTTGTTTTAACGGAGACACGATTTTCAGCCAACAAGTGGGCCAGTAACAGAATTTTTTAAACATTACGAAAGCTGCTTCAAAGCAACAACGATTGTAAGACTTTTACCCGAATGCAAATTTTCCCGAATAACATTTCCCCGAATGGAAGGATTTAACCGAAAAATGTATTACTTTACAGTTTCGGCTAGTTCATCTCATACCGAAACCTATGTTATTTTTAAGATAATTGTTTAATTCTTAAGTATTAATTTACGTAAATTCACTTCTTTCAGGTAAAAGAAGATTAAATTTAGACTAAATGTGGTCTAAATGCAATCCTCTGCCAAGAGGGAGGGTTGCTGAAGCCACCACAGGGCTGTTCATAAACTACGTAGACAGTTTTTTGGGATTCTTGCCCCCCCTCCCCCTGCGTAGAAAATTGACCATACAAAAATTTTAAAATTTGTATGGGCCGTGGATAATTGTAAACGAACTACCATAGCCATAGTAACACATACCACCTTCATAACGCTTCAGTTTGCCTTAAACGATTAATTCTTGGTTGTTAATAGTCCTTGATGAAATCGGCTGTTTCATGCAGATTGAGCAATAATTGCAGAATTATTTTGATTATAGTAGGGGAAATGCAGGTAATGTTCGGCCTAAGTGTCCCTAATTTGAGCCCATACATAAATTCAGCAATCGACTAAACTTTCAATAGCAACCAAAAATATCCACTAGTAACGTCCCAATAACGCGTTCATCTAGATAAAATTGATAAATAGCAGATTTTTAGCGATGGGCCCAATATTAGATACATAGGCCAACAATTAGAGACATTTCCCCTATGTATCAGATTTGTTCTGTATACAGAGGAGCTGGGAGGGCTTATTAGAAACTTCTCACCAAATAAAGTAATGATCTAGTAAATTTTGTACATCATTTTATTAAAATGTTATTTTATTTTAGCATATTATTTTTGTTACAGTCAATGGATCAATGAAAATGCTGAGGTTTTGACAGAACTGTGCTGTGGCTACCACAGTATTTTCCATAAACAGTAGCGCCAAAAGCATGCTGGTCGTGGGTTCAAAACTTGACCATCTAAATTGATCAATTAGTATATGATACAAGAGATTTGCTCGTTTTTGCGTTTTTGTTTTGTTTTTTTCTTGTTGATCTGATAGATTTCCCAGTTTGGTTAGAAGTTTCGAAGCTAACGCGTGTCCACAGGCCTAATAAGATAGGTAGAAACAGTGTATCATGAAGAAAGGTTGCAGGGTTGATTCCTCTCACTTGCTATAGTGGAGTGATTTTCGGAGTTTTGAATTCGTTACATGTTGTATTGGAGATTATTTGTGTCAGAAACTTGTGTTACTGTTGACGACTTTGTATGAAAATCGGCATACGCTGCTATTTTATCGAACACAGCTGTATATTGAGAAACACCTATAATGGCAATGGCAACTGACAATCGTAAAGACATCTACAAACATAATGGCACTGACTGACATTGATTCTCAAAAAAAAAAAATCAAGAGGATAGTTTACTTTCCAACTTTTAATATTACTACTGTTACTCCGACTATCCCCTACTTCAAAAATTATTCCTCCCAATCCGGCATCTTAAGCAGGATTCACTTGATCCCTGTGATTATTATTCTGTAGTGCCAAATCTTTACCTCTGCCCTTGTGCTGTATGAACAGTGATGTTTCACTGGAGAAAAAAAAAATGATAAGGATTTCCGGGATAATTTAAATGTTTTATGGGGGGCGACCCCGGCGTAGTGGTTAACATCCATACCTCTCACGCCAAAGTCACGAGTTCAAATATCACCCCCGGACAAGTCACGAATGACCCAAGAGTGTTAAAGTGACTATAATAAAAAAAATTGTTTTATGGGAAATGGACTGAAAATATTAACTTGCTTGTCAAAAATCCAAAAAATAACTCAATTTTTACCAAACGTCGGACTGAAAGTGGGAATACTATGCAGAACAATTTTGTTGAAGACTGTGACTTGATTCGACATGTGTAGATACAGTTATTAACTGTTTACTGTAGACTAAATGTACCGCAGCTTATATATACGCCTGAAGGCATACGTGGTGCACTAGGGCTAAGGTAAAATAATAATAACTTTTTGCACAAACGTCGAATCGATCTGTTCTGTATACACGCAGAGAAACAACTCGTATTAGAATCAAATACATTAAATTTTTAATTTAAACTCATGTTTTTTTGTAAAATCAAAGAATAAAAAATCTTTGTTTCTAATATTCAGCAGCGTTCACTCTACAAAGTCGTTATCGTTATTAGAAACAAATACCTTGCTTTTCAATTAATTTATTTTTGGGGATGATCTGATTTTTTGTGGACCGCCATTTTATTACATGACGCAAACAGAAAAAAATGATTCCTCAGAGGAAGAATTGATTGAAGAGCTGGAGTTAGAAATTCTCGGTGCAGAAGATTTAGAATTATTAAAATTACTTAAATTATTGGGTTTGAGCGAAGAAGTAGTCGGTGCTTTAAAGGTAGGAAATTTCTAATTTAATACATTTCTGCCCTATAAATAATTCTAATTATTTCAGCGAATCGATACACAGTTGACATCTTGAAAATAATCATTACACAAAGTAAATGGAAAATTGTTATTTAGATACTGTAATTTTGTAAGTATAATAAATATTATTTGACAGCATAAAAAATATTTTAATTATTTGATTTCATCTAAAATTAAAAAAAAAAAAAAACAAATAAAATGGAAAATAAATCAAATATCAGGTTATTTACATCAATTTTTTTTAAGAATCAACAAAATATTTTCTTTGAAACAAAAAGCATACTTTTTGTAGTAAAAAGAAGCGCGTGATTGGAACAAAATATATTAGTTTTGATTCAAGAAATGTCATGATAGAATCAAAGAAAAATATTGTTGAATTTACTCCTCAGATTTATTTTTGAAATTAAAAACCATTTCTCTGCGTGTAGTATTCGCAATGTAAGTCCAAGATTTGGTCAAAATTTAACTACTTACTTTTTTTAAAAACATTAAACAACTACGCCCTTTGAAAACAAATGGTTTAGTTTAATATAATGCAAAATTCACCATTTTTGGTTTCCTTACTGAGCACCAATGCTACCGACGCCAGGGAGGCAGCTCCCACACCTGGACCCTACCTATCGACCCATCAACTCATAGACCGGGGACCAACGGGTTTACTTCCCGGCGTGATCAGAGATGTTATGCCTCAGAACATCCCGGCGGCCCCGACAGGGATTAAACCCAGGACTGATGGGGTGAGAGGTAATCACGCTTACCACTACACCACCGGCGCCGCTCACAAATTTGTCAATATCTCGCGAAAATCTGTCAATGACAATGACAAATCTCAGCACTGCCACGTGGTATATGGGCAGCTCCCCTAATATAATTTGTATGGTTATTTTGCTTAACAACGTGTTCGGGATATCTTCCAAACCATTTATGGAATAGTTGTACCATTTGGGTTATCGTTCATTTATGGTATTTGTTTATTAGGGTCTTTATCAATATATAAATAAATTACTCTGATCAGAGATATCTATCGGATCGATTTCCGCTTGTAACATCTATACTATGTTTGCTTTTCTGCCAGCACTGTTATGTTTTGTTGATGTGTTTTGCATCGCAGCTAGAGTATTATTTCTTTATTTTCCTCTCTCGGGTGGTTTTACTCGTTCGTTTCCATCCAATCCCCCTACAAAATAGCTCTGTAATGCGACGTTGCAGTGGTTGTGTGCTGTTGTGTGTATTCTTCTGATCTTACTTTAGTTGGCTCGCTATATGGTTCCATAGTTATATCTTCGTTGTGCAAAATGGTTGAAATACAAACGACAAGGCAACAATCGTATTGTGGTATATGACAGACAGAGAAGGCACTCACGAGTCCTCTGTATGTATGGGTAGCGAGAAATCAGCAGGTTTTGACGTTTGTCAGTCATTGGATTAAATGTGGTGCGTTCAATGATCACACATGCTAAAAATTATAATAATTTACTTGAATTACAATGCTGATATCAATTTTGAATGCGCACATCGTGTAAATGAATACATTTATCTCATTTGTTTTTGTTTTGGTTTAGTTATATACTGACCAGACTGTTGTCGATAATTAGTATAACATGTTATAACTCTGTAGTCTGAACAAGGCATTAGTTAATAGGGATATATTTACGGATTTTACGGATGAATTGATCTCATATCGGCACTTAATGGCGATTTTCCACGAACTC